CTTAACAGACCATTCAAAGTCCAAACAGTTGTCCACTTAATTTCTGTAATAAGGCGGCCAGATGTGTAGCAGTAGAAGAAGATATGACTTCAGCCAGCAGCACATCATCATGTACACAGTGCCATAAGATTTCTGCTTAAAAGGAGAGTGGAATCATCCATATATGTGAACTACTAATGGAAAAAACCCCAGAGTCTCTTAAAAAGCTAGATGGCTAGAAGTGTATGAGAATACAGAAATCTGATCCAACATTAAAGATCTGGAGGCACTTTACTTTTTAAGTGCTGATTATTATGTCCAGGTGGAATAACTCCATTAATTTATAGGAAGACATGTGTCTAATCCTTTGCAATAATCTAATGAATCATCTCTGAAAGAACCTCTTTAATGCAAATTCTGATTCAATTGCAGTGCTCTTTTGAGAAACAAATATGATCTATAGATACCTGTAGTGTATCAAATAATACCTGGTTGTCTGGTTGTGGCAAAATGATAAAATGTATAAAGTATAAATGCAATATTCCTTTCAGTAGCCAGACTACATTTGTAGGGTTTTAGAATGTACAGTATAAAGCCTAATTAAGCAGTAAATTAAGTATAGATTACTTTGCCTTGAAACGGTTTGTTTTGATCACTTCATGATTTCAAACCCACATATAAAATGTGTTAATAGAATTATTAAAATGTGTGTTCTTGTCCTAGAGGTTGTATGTGTGTAGCACAATAAAAAGCAAAGTCAAATCTTGCAAATGTTATCTGTAGTGAATATCATTTATAAAATAACACTGTGAAATGGATTATCATAAGCAAGGTTTTTAATATTAATTGATTTTAATATTGAAGAACCCTTTATTCCATATTTCCATCATTGTTATATGTTTAGCATACTTTCATAAAAAGGTTAGATTGTAGTTACAGTTGCATATCTGTGGTAACACTATATTTCTAAACACATTATGCCACCATTCCCCCTCAAGCACATAAATGTAAAATCTAAACAGGAACATAAAATTCTGCTAATTTGTCAGAATGTATTTTCAAAGATTTAACCCATTAAGACACAAGGCACCTACAATAAATACGAACAGGTAATAGGTTTATTCCATGATGAAAAAAAGAAGAAATAAAACACAACATTTCGTCCGAGGCTGCTCACACCTGAAGAAGGCATTGTGCTGCACGTTGTGTTTTCTTTCTTCTTTTTTTCAGCATAAACCTATTACTTGTTCCTTTGCAGCCTACTCATGCTGACGCAGCTGCCCACCTGGACTACTACAATAATTACATCTTAGTTGTGCAAACTCCAAGTCAGAATATTTATTTGCCTTTCATCTTTCAAATTTAAATTATAAATGCCAATTTTTCTATCACTGCCATTAAAGTAATGGAAATTAATTTTAGTGTGTTTGCTGACATTTTAATATTGTATTTCTTTCTTTCACTATATCCTTTTCTAATCTGAGTTTGAATTTCACTGTGCTCTGTCTTTATTTTGCTATTGCTCTATGTTTACAGGTTCCAAAACTATTTTCTTTTAAAAAACATTTTTTATTCATCCATTAAACTATATAGGTCAGTATATTTTAATAATCTTTTTTAATTTTTAGGATGTTTTTTGTCTTCTCAAAAATAGGAAAGAGCAAAGGGGAAGTGCTTTTAAAACTGAGAACATCAGACACTTCTTTATGCAAAGGTTTGCTGAGAGTCTAGAACATGTTGCACAGGCATGTTGATTGCCATTGCTTTCAAGAAAGAACCTCAGATCTATTAGCTACAGTACTAGCAAACAAACTGCCTATATGGGTTGAATGGCCCCCTCTAGATTGCAAAGTTTATGATTTTAGTTGCTACTCACCTGCTTTTTCCTGCATCACCGCATATTTCTATAAACTGTCTCTCATCTTCATGGTTAATATTTCTAAAATTGTAGTGTTTTTGTAGAGTACTGTATGTTGCAGATCTCAGAAGAGCACAGTACTCTCTTCTTTTAACTTTGAATCTGTCCTTTGTATGCTGTCTTCATGCAGCCCTGTTATGTGTTCTCTTGTTTTAGTGAAAAATATGTTTTGTCATAGAATATTGTTCATAACAAAGTTTTTACAATTGTAATAATTTTTATTCATTTGCTTTGAATCCATCTATAAGCTTAATATGTGCTGTTAGCCATTTTTTCTATCAATAAGCTTTTAGAGATTTAAAAGTTGTTATATCATGGTCACAATTTCCCAGTTGTTTTATCACATACTGTATATTCTGTTAATGATATGTCTGAAAGCCCATATCTTCATACTATGAGAACTTTAGTCCTGGTTTTGTGTAAATTGCTTTCTTCCATTTCACCAGGAAGTGATCAGTCTAAGTGCTGTATTCTTCCTCTTTTCCCAGATAAAAATAGATGTACACCCTCATTCTCATTTAGAAATTTAAAGCTGTAACAGGGCTCTTTTGAGTCTGAGGTTGACACAAAAGCTACTATCAAACTTTTGGAACCTGGATGTTCCCTGATGATTAAAGTCTATTAGCAAGAGACCCTTTTTGGCATAGTAGAATTCACGACTGTCCGGGGAAATCAATACTTTCATCCCCGTTTCAGGTTTTTAGGTCTGACTTGTTTTAATAATAATAATTATAATAATTGCTTACACTTATATAGCGCTTTTCTGGACACTCCACTCAAAGCGCTTTACAGGTAATGGGGACTCCCCCCCACCACCACCAATGTGCAGCATCCACCTGGATGATGCGACGGCAGCCATAGTGCGCCAGAACGCTCCCCACACATCAGCTATTAGTGGGGAGGAGAGCAGAGTAATGAAGCAAATTCATAGACGGGGAAATATTAGGAGGCCATGATTGTTAAGGGCCAATGGGAAATGGGGCCAGGACGCCGGGGTTACACCCCTACTCTTCTGGAGAAATGCCCTTGGATTTTAATGACCACAGAGAGTCAGGACCTTGGTTTAATGTCTCATCCGAAGGACGGCACCTGTTTACAATATAGTGTCCCCATCACTATACTGGGGCATTAGGACCCGCATGGACCGCAGAGTGAGGGCCCCCTGCTGGCCCACTAACACCTCTTCCTCTTTTGAAAGATCTTTGGTCTTCATGGCTAAAGTTTTACTGACATTTACTACCTGACTGAGGGACATGACAAAGGTGGATGTATTTATTCTGAAAACATGTGAACCCCTTTTTATTGCACACATGGATGACATACAATTGATTGTATGATTTGTCAAAGTAATCTCGGGGATCAAAATGTTTTAAATAAGTATTAACTCCCTTTTTATGGAGAGCTGCCATAACAACAATGATAAAGACAGTTAATACATATGCAATCAAAATATTTTAGCTTCTGATTTTTCTTTGGGTTTTTGTTGACATTTAACTTAGTAGTTAACCTATAAAGGTATTTAGTTTTAACATTCAAGGCTTGATTAAAAATATTCACTTTTAGAAAAGTGTATCTGCAATGTATGTACTGTAGCTCTGATCTACCCCTGGCAGCATGATATCCAATTCAGTACTCCCTTGAAAATCTGTATCCCCTCCTAAATTCATGTTCACTTTTGCAAATCTTTCCTCTTTCCACTCATGGGGACATAAGAATTATTGATTTGCTCATGCACATCTGTCTGCAATTGTCTTTTAGGTTTAGTCTGTGCCAAAAGACCACATCGTCTGCTGCAGCACTATGGTACACTATCTATTGTAGGTTTCAATGGGGCTGATGTCATGTCATTAACCTGCTCAGTCCTGTTACATAGACATCATTTGTCATTCAACAGATTTGGACTTCATTGGAGAGGTGAAGATGGCAAGGCACTGCACACTTAAGCTCTACAAAGTCAATGGAAGCATTTTAAGGAGTCTAAAGATTATACTGTTATGTTAAGAGTTCTACAGTAACCAGAGCATGAAATTTTCCTGGGGTTATGACACAACATTATTTAAGATCAACACGGTTGTTATTTTACACACTTGTAAAGCAGCAGCAGACATTAAAAAGACATTTTTAGCTTTTAAGAATGCTTTATTTCCCTGCGTGAGAGTTATTTTATGTCTAGTTTTTAAGGAATCATCATGCTGAGGACAATATGGAAAAGAACCAAAAACAGTTATACCTAAGGCCTCCAGCATTTTTTAAAACACCTGTTCTTTCAAATGGGGAAGAGGGAGGGATGATACTACACCCTTGACATATACAGTACAATACATGATCCATTAGACATTTTTTTCAAAATGTTTCACTGATTTGAACTGAATTATGTTAGTTTTACTTGCTTATTTTAGATTTTTTCATGGATGTAGGTACAACACCTACAAAATGCAAATACCTTTGTACCAGAAAAAAAAAAATGTCTTTGACTTCTAAATGAAGATTTTGCACTATACTTACAGTGCCTTCAACAGGCCTGTGCATTTTGCATATGTGCTGTGGTTTTAAAATAATAACAAAATTCTTATTGGAGCCTAGTATATCTAAACTGTATTATAAGGTTTTTTGAGTTCAGTCCTGCAGCATGAAAGGCAGATTAATTGCATTGCCTGAACTACACTTGATATAAAATAAATGTGGTACTCCATGCTTAATGAAATCATCTTAAAGAGAGACTAACCATATACTGTATAACACTGTTAATCCCATGTCACGGTGAAGTGCCTTGTTAAAATTATAGCTATTAGTATATGTAGATCAATATCTGCTGATCATGATGTAAACGTAAATTTGGAGAATATGGATATCTGTGCCATTCCGAAAAATCAGGTATGAAAGCTAGATGAAAGACACATTTACAGTACAATCCATTTTTCAAGCGTGTGTTTGAAGACTGCTGGGTTTAGTGCTCATCCAGTGCAGTCACAGGCTATAGTCTATAGTGGACATGACTAGTACTTCCACAGCGCCACCCGCTGGTGCATCTGTGCTGTATTAAAAAAACAAGTTATTTAGGTATTCGTATTCCGGGGCCAGGCTGCATTTCTGGTACTAGCTATAACACGGAGAGGGAGGGTCGGGATTCAAAACTGTAGCCTGTCGAAATGTGTTTTTTCTTTTTTTACAATAGAAATCTTTCAGCAGCTCGTAGTAGTAAACAGGAATTCGTCGAGCCACAGTCGAAGCGACTTTTAAGAACGGATTTACAAACGGTCTTGCAAAACATCCAACTTTTAACTTATTTTACTCGGCAATGTAAGACTGTTTTTAGAGATGCTGCAACTAACCGTTTTCATTTTGTGCTCTGGCACCTTTATGCAACCTCAGTGTTAATGACTATCTGAATTGCGGACATCCAGTTTAGCTTCGTGATGAGTGCGCCTGGGATCCCGGTTTGAGCGAGACTGATGAGATCTGTACACAAGGCACCCAGGTAGCATACCGCACCTACCTTTTTTTTTTTGCTGGTGAAGAGGAATTTAACTGTAAAGCTGTCGATACCGCGGCTTAGACACTGTAGTTTCGACACCAATATCAATACCATGTTACATCTTATGAACTATTCTGAAAAACATTATTTTAAATCGTATGGATTCAAAAACAGACCTCTGGGTTAAGCCCTGCACACTTCTTTGGCGAGTAACCGGACCCCCTGACTTCCCATTTAACTGCTGAGTTGTGATAAAGTTGAAACAGAGAAGCATCAGAGGGGGAAGCGAAAGCACGGCTAAGGGAGTTCGGCGCTCTGATCCTTGGATGGGGACTTTCATTTCACCGAGTTGGAATTAACGACCGACACTCTTAAAAATACAGATCGAAGACGGGTTGTGCAATATATCAACTGTATTTTTACGCGAATCGGCCATTTCCTGACAATAGCGTGTGTTTTTTTGAATTGCCAGCGGTTCTACTTTCATATTGCAGAACACCAGGACTCGTGTTTTTATTGTATCCTTTATGGGTAATTTGGAGGTGTCACCAAAACGCCTTTTTTGAGCGCACGTTATGAGGTATTGTTGTATATAATACCAGCTGACAAGGGCGTTCTTTTTTTCCCGTTCGTCATTTATGCGCTAACTGCTCGAGTAGGGAATATTCTTTGTTCGGGGTCGATCCTGGGATTTGTGCGATGACTGCCTCGGGAAGCCAGAGGGTTCCGAAAAGTGACAAGTTGGACGAGGCACAGGCGCTGGCAAAGAGCTGCGCCGGGAGACCCGACTTTCTGCCGTGTGACGGGCTTTCTATCTGTGCAACTCACAGCCACGGAAAGTGTTTCAAACTACACTGGTGCTGTCATCTAGGGTGGTGTCACTGTGAGTACTGGGTTTCAGATCCATTCTTCTTCTTGGAATCTCAGTCCTAAACGTCTGGGAAAAAAAACATTTAAACGTAAAAGACGGTGTTTTTCTTTTAATTTGTATCGAATCGACCTTTTAAACAATTTTAGACTCATTAAATATGTAGCTACTGTCGTGCTTACGGGCCATCGCTCACTAAAAATGCCATTTTCGCATATTTACTTTTTGTAGATTTCCTTGTTGATTTTGGATCATTTTAGTTATTCGTCTATTTGAAAATGTACTTATCTCTTGGAACAAAAATGCGCTTTTCTGAAATGTTTTCCCCCAAATTAAACAAAATTGAATATTTCATGAATCTGAAGTTGTAGATTTAAAAAAAAATGTAGATTGCATTTCCACGAAGAATCTTTGTCTACTTATATACATTCTTTTCTAATTTGATTATTTGAATAACAATGTTGAAACATTACAAATAAAAACACATTAATGGACATCTAAGAAAAATGAATATTGGCAAACAGCCACGGGAACCTATTATATTAAGCACAGCTTTTTCTTAAATGTACTTTGACAATGCAAAGGAGAAATAATAATAATAATAATAATAATAATAATAATAATAATAATAATAATAATAATGGTTGTTTAGTAAACAGGCTGTGATATGTTTTATGTGTTACAAAATCGGTTATTTCAGTTTTAAACGAGAAGGCGAGTAATTGTTAGTAAGCTGCCGTATTTCCAATGTTTAAAACTAAGTGAAGAAACCAAGTAAACCTGCACACGAGACATAGGCTGGATTAATTCTTCCTTGCACAGAACGACTAACAGAAAATGTACACATGTAAGCTACAGAACACGGACTAAATTAACGACGTACACATCTCCTTAACATTTTAGAAGAAAAAGAACAATATCAGGTATACATTTACACGAACGTGGGATGGCTAGTATTAAGAATTATCGTTGCAAGAAGATGAAAATAAATCCTGATTTTCATCACGGACACGTCCCGAACTGCCCTCTGTAGCAAATTGTGTCACCTAAACATCAAAACACCATTACATTGAATTGTCAAGTGTATAAATTAAATGAAAGACATTTACAACTGGAATTTCACCTGCCTTCAAAATGACAACAAAGACTGTTATAAAAAGCATACGACGTTCTGGTTAATACCTGATTGTAAATATTTTTGATTTGCTCTGAATATATTCCATACGCCCATATGTAGCAGTGGGAGAATCGTATGTTTCAGTCAGTTGGTTAAGGAATAAACAAATTATTTGAAATAACCATACAAAAACTTCTAAAGTGTAAGCACATTCAATTAAAGATTCTATTGAATATATTAATAATATATAAATCTGAATACTCAAATTAATAATTAATAATATAATAATTGAAAATGTCAGTTTAAAATAGTTCAGGTACCTGTCAGGAAAAACACTGAAGTATATTCAGTCAAAAAACAATCAACATTTAATAAAAATAAATCCAATGACTCTCACCTCTACATTTTGAACTTGTAGTTAGGAAAATGTAATGGTACAATCAATGGTGTTTGACTATTTGAAATTGTAATTTATCATTGTAGTTTTTAATTTATAAACTAGTAAAACTGTAATTTTTAATCGATCAGTTAAGGTATCAATAAAAGTAAAAAAGTCCTGTTGGAAAAAGCAGAGAGTAATAATGTTCCTTCTATAGACCTTAGCATGTCTAAAAAAGGCTTTATTTTGGCAGTTTGCCTTTGCTAGATCAGGGCCCAGAACAGAAGGGGACATAAAATACTATATTAAAAGTACTTTTGCTGATGTATTTAGAATTGCATTTCACCACTAATAAAGACATCTCAATGTGCACCACCAATCAGCTGTGATGAAGAGTTGTCTTACTACATGTGAATAAAATCCAAGTGCTGTAAGTGATCCCTGATTTCAAAATTCACACTACACAAGTTTTCTCAGTCCTATGTACAAAGATTTGGTTTTGTCACTCTAGGATATGTGCATTGTGAAGGGCACCTTTGGCTGTTTAGAAATCAAACCATATTCACTATCTGTCTCTGTCTCTGAGTGGAGTATAGATAATGTTCATGGAATTCTAAATGGAAGCTTGAGAAGAAGTCAAAGTCTGACTTCACCCACTTCAATTCATCTTAGTTTAGTTTCATGACTCTAGTACACTGTACCTGTTGACATGATATCACCTATGCTCTCACCAGTGATGATTTGTACCTCAATTCTACTGCACTTTCTTCTTATTCCACCCTCCCTAAAAGAAGACCAATTCCAGAGGTGTTCCCAGCGTCCTGGATTCTGAATCCACACCAGGTGCTGCTGTTGCTTGCTACTAGTCCTAGCCATATTCTGGACCTCACTGGCATTCCTACAAGTGCCCTAATGGTCAGCCCCTGTCCCTTCTCCGCCTGTGGTCTGGCTAGCAGTCACTTTGGTGTAACGAACAAGTTCTTTCAGGACTCTATGCAGACGACATGATCCCGGGTGGAGTGAGGAAAACACAGGGGAAAAAGTCATGCAGGAGTCGGGAATGAAAACGGAAGGCGTGTCCAAAGTGCACAGGTGTCCAGGGGGGTGAGTCTGGGGCAAACAATCCAGAAGTAGTCCAAATGGGGAATCCAAAACGAGCAATCCAAAAAGTCCAAAGCTGGGCGGTCCGTCTGAGACTAGACAGGATAAAAACAGGAACCAAATCGGAACCGGCGGGGAACAGGAACAGGAATGGAAAATAAAACCATAATGGAGCCAGGCGATTCCAGGTCCCGGGCTCGCACGATACGGGAATCAATGCAGAGCCCCGAACTGAGTGGGCGTCTGGCTTACAAGGTGGGCTGGGAGGAGGCTGAAATATGGGGCAGGTGCACAAAATCAAGTCTGAAGTGAAAGAGCCAGAGCGCCCTTAAGGGGGAGGGACTACAATCGTGCCATTTGGCAGCAAACATCAGTAGCTCCTTCAGTAGCTTCTTTACCAGGCTCTGTACTCCCCATCCCTCCTTAACTTGCTCTCTAGTCCTTCTGCCTCTTACGACTATTTCTGTCAGCCACACCATCCTGTCCTCTGTTTGTTGATAAGATCTGTCAGATTACCACCTTCAAGATGTGCTAATTAAAACCAGTTTCAGTGTCACAAATTTTTGGACTCTTATGTTAGAACATCGCACCATCTTCCACTGCACAGTGTGGAATCCTAATCCCCACAATCAAATCCTTAGGACTCCTTCGATTTGAACGACTTGAAACAAGATCATTTCAAACTGCACATATAGAGTTCTGATGGTGTTATGACATCACATTTACTTATTTGGGGCTTCTGATAGCTTTGTACTTACTGTCTTATTGTCATTTCCTCAGCCGGATGGGATAAATAAATCAAATTAAATTACATCTTTATTCCATTTCTCTTAGGGGATGGCTGAAACAGATTGCACCCAATTAGAGACAAAAGACAAATGTATGGGTTCTATATTATTTATATTCTTAAGTTTGTGTCCACATTTGGTGGTTAGTTTTTCTTATTAAAATGGGAAGTAAGAAAAATTGAAATGAACCCAGCATTTCAGATGAGAATGTTACACCCTTCATAAAGTAAGCAGAGAAACAGATGTCTGTTTTGCACAAAAAGAATGCATCTCCCAACATAAAATCCCCAGAGTATTATGCTGTAACTCAGTGCTAAGGAGAAAAATACCTTGCTGGAAACAAAACAACTTTGTTAGATTAGCATGTAATGTTTTGTATTAACTATAGTGTATACCAAATATTTTCTGCACAGTACACTTTAAGATACACCATAACAAATCCTAGCAAACCCACAAAAAGTGACAAGTGTAATTGAAATGTGAAAAACACATGGTCTGCATAGCTGTAGTGTAGCTTGTAATGTAGCTAACTGTGTTTTACATACAGGTAGTAAAGTTTACTGATCTGTTACCATTTGTATTGTTAGTTTACTATAGGTGCAACTACAAATAAATTTTACATACTTGAGTTAGGTTTGTGGAGCACATAACCTCACTGTACTTAATGTGAGCTGTTACCGACTTAAAGACACACAGAAATCCTGCAATCTGGCCCTATAATGTGTCTTGAAACCCCTGTAGCAAAGTAGTATTTGAGATGTTGTCCATGAGAGCTGCTCATTATCCCTTTTTCATCCATCCATTTGTTTTGCCTAGTACATTTTATAACCATTGAGACTTAAGACACATGCACTTACAACATACAGTAATCACTGACTGATGTACATGCACTGTGATTTTCATGTCAAGCAAATGCTGGCAAAATTATTTGTTTTGTTTAATGTGCTGTGGCACCCAGCTCTTTGTAACTTTTTCCCCTTCCTTGCCTGACATTGTTAATTCCCGTAAGTAACAAGTCAGGGCAGAAACATTATTACAGTTGCAGACCATTTAAAGAAGACTTCATGATAAATGTATGCAAGCCTGTTCTCATTATAAATAGACATTATGTCAGAGACAAAACCAAAATTCTTGTTGTCAAGCCCACTTGAAGACACTCGTATTGTTTTTTGCATGTGGAGGCTTCCAGTGAGCTTCTTAGGATTAGATGTAAAAAAATGTGTTTTTTTTCCAAGGACTCTTTTGTGCTTATACATATTTTATTTTGAATATATAAATAGCACAAATCTATAATGCAGCCTGTTATGCAGGTCAGCTGAGGTTTGTGAGATGAGAAGGCAGATAAAAGGAATTCAGTTTCAGGGTCATATTTTCTGGTCCTGTCAGTCGGTGAAGCAACACAGTATCATTTTAAGGGTATCAAACAATACTTCAGCACAGAACATGTGTTCATTGCATGTGTAGAAATATGTTATACAGAGCAATGAAATAGAAGAGGGGCTTTTATTACTTTACAAGGGATAGTTGTTTGAAAACCTGAATAATAGGTCCTGAGAATATTTTATTGTATTGTCTGATGCCATCTGTTGTATGTTTATGATTAACATACATCCTATGTTCTTTAACTGTA